CACTCCAAGAAAGATGTTGGTGACTAAAAGTATTTTTACTATGTTTAATATGGTCGGCCTAGTGCGTAGTAGGCAGCTTATTATTAAAGTGAAGGCCATAAGTATGCCATAGGTTGTTGACTGAGGGGCAATCTCAGAAGATGTGTTGAATAGTTTCATCATTAATTCTGCAAACCGGGCAAAGAGGGTCGATATTAATACCTATTTTAGCCAGGTAAGAACGTGTAGGAAGTCTATTGTGGTAACATTTCCAAATAATTTTTTTTATCTTATTAGGGCAATGTAAACTCCATATCCAGCTGAAATCTTTTTCGTGGTTTTCCTCTCCGTTTATTATTTGGTAGCAAGAGGATGTTGAGAAAAGGCCATTAGAGGATAGGCTCCATACATTATGGATTCTATGAGGTTTCATACCATGGGGAGTGAGAGCATTTATGCTGTCAGTAATTTGGGAAGGAAGGACAAATGAGATTTTTAAAAAATTCCATTGCCCTTTATCCTTGATTTGATTAACTGTAAGATTGTCCTCATGCTCCCTTAGGGGGCCAGCTATTACATTCCTAAGGTTTCCTATGTTGGGAATCCAGTTGGATTGCCAAACACTGAGGGGGGCTGTGTTATTGATATTACATCTTGTTCCTATATTAGGAAGGTACCAACCCCTAAAGATGCTCTTCCAGGTGTGTGAGTTAGTGGTCTTCCCCCTCCTATTTCCATATGTAGTAGAGACTACTTTGGTCCATAGCGCAGTAGCGTTATTAATAAGTCTCCAGACAAGACTTGTTAGGAGTGCTAAATTTTTACTTTCCGCTTTACGAATCCCCAGGCCACCTTTACACTTTTCTTTTGTAACAATGTTCCAATTAAGCATGTGGAGTTTCCTCTTTTCTGGAGAAGAGTTCCATAGAAAATCCCTCTGAATTTTGTCTATTTCCTTTAGAGTTTTTTTGGGAAGCATAGAGTATTGCATAATGTGATTGGGGATAGTGTTTAGAGTAGAGGAGATAAGGGTACACCTTCCCGCTGTATTGAGCCACTTAGCTTTCCAACTACTAAGTTTTTTCCTCATTTTATCAATGACAAACTGGTAGTCTTTTGATTTTGGGCTAACGTTTAGGATTGGAAAGCCAAGGTAAGTACCAAAGTGTCGCTGATTTTTATATCCCAAAGATTCGAAAGGTTGACTTGAGTTGACTTTGGGCACTGGCTCGAGATAATTAACTTAGATTTGGATTTGTTAATAGTTTGGCCAGATAACTGGAAGAAGTTCTCGAGACAGTGGATCACCGAATGAGCTGTTTTTAGGTTGGTTTTCCCTATTAGAGTGAGGTCGTCTGCGAAGAATAAGTGCGATAAGGGACTTCTGTGAGTGACTTTTATTGTGTCCCATTTATTAATATCCACATTGTGGTTGATTATTATAGAGAGCATTTCCATACATAGTATGAAAATGTAAGGTGACAACGGATCACCTTGTCTGATTCCTCTCGAAGGAGGAAAGGATTCAGACTTTGTGCCATTCACAAGGATGATATAACTATAGGAGGTAATACAGGACATGATTAGGCTAATCAAACTTGTGGGGAAATTAAAGAAGGTTAGCGTTCTATGGATGAAAGACCATTCCAATTTATCAAACGCTTTTTCAAGGTCGATTTTAACTATCATATTCCCATGCTAGCTTTTAGAATTTCTGATGTAGTTCATTACTTCTTGAATTATTAGAGCATTATCACAAGCTCTTCTACCCTTGATGAAGTTAGCTTGGTGAGGACCAATGATATTCTGCATAAAAGGCTTCATCCTGTTGGCTATTATTTTAGAGATTATTTTGTAAATAGTATTACAAAGGCTTATGGGCCTAAAATTTTTTAATAGGTTAGCATTTTCAAATTTGGGGATTAGGCAAATGTAGGTCTTGTTAATGTCTTCAGGAATACAATTTTCCCTAAACACTTTGTGGCAGAAGTGCATAACACTACCTTTGATGTTGTTCCAAAATTTTTGGAAAAAAAGAGGATGGAGTCCGTCTGGGCCTGGAGCTTTGTTAGGATGTAAGGAAAAGACTGCTTTAGTGATTTCTGAGTCTATAAGCGGCTGGTCTAGGCACGAGGGGGGGGGGGAAGTGAAAATTAGAGTGATTTCTATCAAAATTAGTGTGCCAAAAGGAAGAGTGGTGGCCTGTAGAAATTAACCGTGTGGTCCATTATGGATTTTGGATCGTGTATCCAGTTGTTGGAGTCATCTTTAAAAAAAGTAATCTTATTAATTCTTTTTCTATTGGTCGCGGTGATCTAGAAATATTTTGTGTTGGCGTCACCTTCATTCATCCACATAACTCTAGAACGAAGCTTCCAATATTCTTCCTCAAGAACTAGAATCTCATTATAGTGTTTTTGTAAAAAATTTCCAGCTCTTGAAGGAAAACACTAGTAGTATATCTAGGACTCATTTGAATGCCACTTAACCTTGCCAGAATTTTTCTTTTTTTCTTATGAATATCACCAAAGACTGCCTTACTCCAGTTCTTAACTTCTACCTCAAATGAATTCGTGGCACTTAAAAGATCATTAGAGCCCCAGTGCCTATTAACTAAGGAAGTGAACTCTGGACGTGAACACCAAATTGTTTCTAAGCGAAAAGTTTTGTCGCTACTGGATGGGGATTTCTTATTGAGGGAAATGAGGATAGGGTTATGGTCGGAATGAGTTTTTGGTAGGTGGATAATGGAGGCAACAGGGTAGTGGTCCAACCATTCTGTATTAGCATAAACTCTATCTAGACGCTCCATTATTAAACCTTTCCTTCTTTTCCTATGGTTGGACCATGTGAATTTACACCCTTTGAATCCTAGATCTAATAGTTTACAATAGTTTAGATTAGCTAAAATATTTTGAGCATGATTTTGGTTCACTGCCCTACCTCCAAACTTTTCTTGTGACATAATGACATCGTTAAAATCCCCTCCCATAAGCCAAGGGACTTTGTAAGAATCATAGATATTTTTTATGTTATGCCATAATATATCCCGCTTGTACTTGTCAGTGCTAGCATAAATTGAGCTAAAGAGCCAAGTTTTGTGATTAGGTCTTACCTCAATCATGGCATGAATCTCTTGGTTACGTCTAGTGAAGTTGTTGACGACAACTCTAGCATGATTCCAAAGGATGACCAGCCCTCCTGCTTGCCCCTCAGCAGGCACTTCTATCATTTCGGTGAAGTTAAACTCCTCCAGAATTGAGAGATGATTAGCCATTCTGGTTTCTAACAGAGCTACCATGCTGGGTTTGTGAGTAATTATTAATTCCCTAAAATTGCGACGAAAATTTGCGTTGTTGACACCCCGGACGTTCCAGACTATAAAGTTAATGGGCTGATTCATCATGGTTTGGTTGGAAGGTGCTTGGTCATTCTCCCTTTCTGCTGGTGCGTTGTTCCTCCTGTGGGAGGGTACCAGAATGATCACATTCTTCCCTACTGTTGGGTCGTGGGGGGGGGGGGGGGGGGGGAGGCGTATATCCATCGAGCACTTGAACATGGTTGGTGGACAACTGATGATGCACTTCCTGTCTAGCCATTCCTTGAATATTAGTATTTTTACTTCGCTTAGGTTTGAGAACGCCACCCTGGGTTCTCCTACATGAGGGAGTGGTTCTTCCTCCACTTCTTGGTTTCCCTCTAGATTTTGCATGTCCATCTGCTGTGCTTCTGCATACATGGGAGGGGGTGGGTTTTGAGGCTGTGGTTGAGGATTCTGTGGCTGGGCCTGGTGGGCAGGGTGTGCTTGGGCTGTCCATGGGGTGAAGATGGGGTTTAGCATGGACATCTCCTCTGGAGCAAAGAAGGGTAAGTTGATCGGAACATTCTGTGGCATCATGGAGTTGGGATTTCCTGGGATGTTCCACATCTCTTGCATGTTGGTAGTGAGGTTTCGATTGAGTGATGGAGCTAGTGGTTGGAGGATATTTTGAATCCACATTTGGTTGATGTAGTTTGTCATGGCCAAGTGCATGTCCTCCGAAATCAGTTGAGCAAGGTAGCTCGTATTTTGGATGATCAGGACTGAGTCTTGCCCATGGATCTGGAGATTGAACGAAATAGCTTGACCCATGAAGCCCGGCTTTATCTAGGATTGTGGCTGGTGGTTGGGAGGATTTGGTGGCCGGGTGTAAATCACAGGTTGAGGGGGAAGATGGGGTGGTAATGGAGGAAGGTTGTCCATTGGGTAGGGACGATTGAGGCGTTGGATTTGAACTAGACGGAATCTCCTTCGGAGGGTGAGTGGTGTTCGAGGCATTATGTGGTGGTAATATAGCTTGGAGAAGATCACAAGCTATGGAGTGTGAAGTAGTGAGAGCAGGTATAGTAATGATGGGGTCTATATGCAAGGGAGAGGAAGGGCCTTGCGTGAGGTTATTAGCAATATCTCCAAGGGAGATCACATCCGACATGTGGAGGTCTTTTTTGGCCAAGTGTTCATCATCGGAGAGGTCATTTGTTTGCATGCAATCTAATATGCAATCTAATATGGGGATATCATCCGCCATGATATGATTACTTTGATGGTTTTGTATGGGAGTATTATTTGATAGGCGTTTTTCATTGGATATTAGAGGGGTATTAGCTAGCTCATAAGTACCAGAAGAGTTGGGGGGGAGGGGGGTACTTCGTAGGGTCAGTATTATTAGAAGACACGTTTTTACCACCTGGCTGCTTGTGGTAATCCTTGCCATGCAGACCACTAATGGTATTACTTTTACTGCCTGTTTTGTCGTAATCTACGTGCTCAAAGATTTGATTGTGGTTATTGTGATTAAGTTGATTAATGGAATTAATTACTTTATTCTCGTTAGAATTATCAATTTTAACCAAAGTTAGAGTAGAATTATCCACATACTTTGGGTTATCGAGATGTGGTGGTGGCACAGATTTTTTTTCTATGAATTTTAATTGCTGAGTTTTGAGAAACTTACCTGTTGAGGCTTCAAAGATTTTAACATTTATACCGGCATTGATGACGCTGTGGTATTTGTCTGCATGCTTGATTTTTGTATTGGTCTCCTCTTCTTGGGAAATGGAACAGTTTGCCACTCATGGCCTTTGGGAACTGTTTGTTCTTCTGATTTGCCTTCTTCATTGGTCGAATTTGTACTGTGTGTGATTATGCGTGTACATTTGGCAGTTGAATGTCCAAGGAAACCACAATTCTTACATAAAATATTATCTCCTTCATATAATATAACTTGTTTGTGAGATCCAATAAGGATATAGGGCTGCACTTTTTCTTTCAGTGGCAATTGGACACATAAACGTGCATAACGCCCTCGAAGAGTAGAAGAGGTACAGGCGTCGATTTTTAGAAGTTCTCCAATAGCATTCCCAATTTTCGTGAGTATAATGCCATCATAGAATTCGGTTGGGAGCTGGGGTAATCTCACCCAGATGGCAGTGTAACTTTGTCTTGCTTGGGACGCTACAAAGTTTGGCGTTCATTTCTGGACTGAGAGGAAAAATCCATTGATGAACCACGGCCCGTTTTGAAGAGTCTTTTTTGTGTTTTCTTCTTTATTGAATTTAACCGTGTAATAGTCCTCTCCTGGGTCTATTAAGGAGAAATTTTCAGATGGCCTCCATAAAGCTTGAACCTTTGCTTTTAGATACTGGTGGAGAATTCTTTTTCCAATTAGTTTGATTATAACGGAGAACTTCCAAAGTTCATAAATTCTTTTAATATCCTGCTCCGTTAGTGTTATTTGATGAGGTTGGTTCCCATTTCCCTCTTGGTTTAACTGGGCAGAGCTGTTCTGTTGCACATCCATTTTGGAAGATGAACTGCCTGGGCTATGCAAGTCCATCGGAACAATGGATAAATCACCGATCAGCTTATCCTTGTACGAAGTCCTATCCTCACCTAGGGGGATACAAATGCTCAAAAAAGTAATTTACTCATGATCTCATGAATCTTAATACATATCTTGAATGTTCTCCACACAGAAAATAGCTAGCAATAATTACATTTATAATAGCTTGACTTTACTTTTGTAGAGACGTGGTCTTGTACTCTTGTAATACAATACTCTAAATTGCTGCAACTATTATTCGACGTGTGTCGTTTATTGGAACAAAAAATACATGTTAAGATGAAGCGTGGCCGAAATTTTTATGTTGTTTTTAGATGTTATGTATAGATATTATTATTATTATTATTGTTAATTTATTTATGTTGAGTTAAAACAATTATACAACAAAAGCTTAGACAATATATATAAAAAAAGAGATTAAAAAATTACTAACAAATGCTACCAACCAAAGTAAGTGAAGTGACGATTAGGATTCTGAAAATGGGTCCGCGTGCACTAAGTGATAATTGTTATGAAATATTATTTGTAGTGCATGTCTATAACTCCTAAAGAAGTTACTCTCACTACTCTTCTCCATTATGTAGATAACTCCCACTACTTCTCACCATTATAGTTGTAACTCCCACACCTCCATAACTGATGATAGGCTATAATTACGTATTTTAGTCGCTTATTACACTCTAATTTACTGCACTTTAGTTGAGTTTGCGCTTTAATCGCTAGTGTCTTGCACTAACTGTGTGTTTTATGCCTTGTAGGAGTAATTCCGAGCTATATAGATGCTATGGAATGAATTCAAGTGATTTGGAGCTTTGAAATCTGAGTAAAAGCCCAAGGATACAAGCCGGGATCGCGTTTGGGGGTCAACGGATGATAGTTAGAGCGAACGAAGAATCGAGCAGGCATATTGTGCACTGTCTAGTAAAATAGATATAACTTTTTGCTCAGAACTCCATTTTGGCTCCACAATATATGGTTGGAAAGCTAACTCAAAGGCTACAACTTTCATAATTTACGTTTTTCCAAATTCGGAACGAAACAGGGTGAAAATGCGCAATAGCGCGGTCGCGCTAGTTTTAGCGCGCCCAGAAACAGAACACTTGTCAACTAGCGCGCCCAGATGCGCGTCCAGGTGCGCGACCGCGCTAGTTAAGCCCGGGAAAAGTGTTCTTTTTCACATTGGAGAAGGTATAATTGTTTGGGCCCAACCCTACTTGGTATATATACATAGGAGGACGTTTTTTAGAGCAATTTTTGACCAAGGAAGAGCACAGAGCCGCCGTGGAGGTCGGGTTTCATCTTTTCTTCCACCAACTTAGTCTTTTTATGTTTCTTTGTATGATTTGTTGTTTTGCTACCATGTCTATGTGGAGCTAAACTTCACGTTCTAGGGTTGTGGTTCTTTCATGACTATTGTTATTCGGATATTGATTTTGATTTCTTAGTTTATCATATTGGTTTATTTATTCAATCCTGCACTTAATTATTTGATTGCTTGATCACCAATTGAATACTATCTACGAATCTAGAATTGAACTCGAAAGTGAGAATTCTATATTGCATATAGGATTGAGTAGAGCAAGTTCTTGAACCTGGGCCTCGGGGAACAGATTCGCGGTTAGGATAGACATATACCTAATTGCCTTGCTTGGTTGATTTACAGGAATTATAAATGCGTTCTTGTTGATTCTAATTTCATAGACATATAGGAGTTAGGTTAGCTTGAATAGGCGAGTAAGAACTCGACAGATTCTTATGAGCAATATTAACCCTATCAACCAATAAACTAGATAAATTAGTTAGTCAATTCAATTGAAGAATACAATAGGAATGTTAGATAGCCCATAACCCTAGATCGTTTTCATTATGTTGATATCATAAAAGATCTGCTCTTTTCCTCTGTTTAAAGTTTATTATTTATTTTTATTTATTTTAATTAGTTTAGAATCAAATACTTCTTGGTTTAATTCTTGTATAGATAATTAGGATAGTCTAATTTAGTTAATAGTTGATCATATGTCCTCGTGGGTTCGACATCCGACTTTTAGTCACTTTATTACTTGACGACCGCGTGCACTTGCGTGAGCGTTTGGCCGCAACAAGTTTTTGTAACCTCCCCATGATCTTTTCCCATGATCTCAATAGTTAATACCATGTTTATGATATCCCTTTGTATACCTCAACGTCATCCTATAAATAGAGGGCTTTGACATCACATTGTATACACTTGAATACATGAAAGAAATAGATTCTCTCCTCTCTTTCTCTCTACATTGTTGTCTATCTTCTTGTTTTATATTATTACTTTGAGCTAAGTTTCGTAACACGTTATCAGCACGAAGCTTTAATCAACCTAGAAGATATTAATGGTTGACAACCTTGAACCAATTTGGTTGAACTAATGGAAATATGGGCATTATTACATATGCCATATTAATGTTTAGTTTGCCTCTATTGTCCAGGGAGTATTATTTTTCAAATTATACCATAAATTGTGTATTTAGCTTATGTTAAAATTTAAGATTTGTAGTTGCTTTGTTTAAAAAAAACTAAGCTTTGATTTTAAGTTTTCATGCTCGTATGGCTGTATATGTTCACTACCTTTGTTCCTAGTTCTAAAATTGATCTTATACAATTATAACATCATGCTATCATTGATTTTCTATGATATTAAAAGATCTTTGTGAAACATTAAAAAGCATTATGGTCATGTTATGTATTAACGAGGACTTTTAAGATCGATGGCCTAACTAATTAGATGCAACATTTTTATGTTGATAATTGACAAAGTGATATCATTATGTTTTACTAGCCTATTTTGACATCATCTGTATTAAAACAGAATATGCTAGCAATAGTTATTACTTAAGATTATTTGTTTTTCTAAGTTAAGTATATTTAGTTATGTGTTTCAATTCTTGTGTGTATTTTATTTAATCATCATGTATTAGTTTACAGTAATATATCACATAGTAATAACGCTACATGGTGACTCTCTTATTGACATGTTTATATATAGGATACTAGTACACTAGTTTGTACTCTATCATATTTTTATTGATAATAGTTCTTATCATTTCTATTTTGCTTATTTTTATGATATATTTTACTATGTGGCGAGATAAAATTATATTCCATTCCTGATGTGAATCAGACCATTTGTGATAAATATTATATAAGGATAAGACGGTGGGTTCAAGTCCCAACGCACCATGAGGGTAAGACATCGGATTTTGAGTCCTGATGATCCATGACTGTAAAAGTTGGGTTCGAGTCCCAACTCATTATGGCCTAACATGTTTTTATATGGGTCAGGCATTGGGTTTGAGCTCCAATGCACCATATGGATGACATAGTGATGACTAAAGAAAAATAATATATTTTTCATGGAAAAGCATGAATCTTGTCCCACTTGATTTGCACCATTCTTGAAGTGAATGTGGTAGCAATGCATAATAAGTAAATGAAGACAAGTGGTTGACCAATGAACATGAGCGTGCCATTGATCAAATAATAATAGTCATCATTATGGTAATTGTAAAAAATGAGAACAATAAGGGTTCTTGGAGTAATTCTTCAATAGGTGAAGGAAATATTTACCATCAAATTTGTATGAAAAATTTATAAAGCACGTATAATTATACTCCATTCTTTGAAGAGAATGTGACTTGTGCATTGAGAATGCAGATTCATTCCTGAAGGTAAATGTAACAATATGTGATTACATGAATATGTCATTGGTCGCGTACATGTGGTACGCCAAAAATAATTTGACATGCCTTATAAAAAGTTATTAAAGGCAAAAGTAAAGCAAGAAATGATTTTGCTTATGATGATTTTGACCATGACAATTATTATGATATGATTTTCTCCGTGAAGGAGACATTCACCATATGGATGGTGTGACAAAAGATCTTGTAGTACAAAATCAATTAAGAGCTCCGGAAGAGCTAATTTGTTACTACCCGGATGAATAAAATTGTTCATGACATTGATATTGTAGTAAGTCTCAAAAGAAACTTTTTGAGTTTCAAATGTATTAGCCAAAGTGGTTGGCATATTGAGACTATAAATGAAAGGAAGATTGATTATCTTCGTATTACTATAACATACCGGGTAAATATGAAAGGTTGCCCGACTTTTCTTCTATTTGTACTACAGATGTATAAGCATGATGATAGAATCACATGCCATAAGTAAACTAGAGGTTTATTGAAACAAATATTAGTTGGCATGACCGGTTGACCATCCCGGTTCAATTATGATGTGAAAATTGATTGAGAATTCACATTGGCATATATTAAAGAAATAGAAGATTCTTTAAGAATTCTCTTGTGATGTTTTTTTTCTCATGATATACCAGTTAAGGTTGGGATTGAATCCCTTGATATCTGGAACGAATAAAAGGTGATATATATGTATGGGCCCAATCACCTGCCATGTGGATCGTTTACTATTATATGATTTTAATAGATGCATCTATTGTATGGTCACATGTGCGTTTGTTATCAACTTGCACTTTGGTTTTTGCAAGGTTGTTTGCTCAAATTATTAGAGCACAGTTCCAGAATATATATTATGATAATTTATCTTGATAATGCTGGTTTAAATCCAAGTTGGTTTAGCAGAAATTGTATGCCTCCAATTATAGCTAAACCATTGGTTATGAGAACAAAATTCGCAAATAGAAATTTGGTATGAGGTATATTATTTAATATACAACAGCACTTGTACGCATCTAGCCAACAAGTTATGATAAATTCTCCCCATCACAATTGGTTCACGGTCAGGAACCAAATATTCCCATCTAGAAATATGGATGTGCTATATGATTTAATTGTGCTGCCACAATGCACGAAGATGGGTTCCCAAAGAAGGTTGAAAAATGTGTTGGTGATCCCGACATTAGGGGGAGAAAATGGGCAGCTGAAAAAGTGATATGTGAAATGAATTATTATGAATACATCTAGATCCTCGTACAAGAAAATGTGAACTTGAAGTTCAAGTGATAATTCATTTCTAAAATATTTCCAGCCACATTGCTGACCCAAAGCTAAATGTCATATTCCAACTGCTAATGCTCCAAATAGAATAACGTCCATGATGGATAGAGTTTATGGCACGCATGAAGCGTAATAGACAAATCGGTTCCAAAGATAAAACTCCTTGAAGAAGGAGGGAGCAAATGTTCAAGATGGTCATAATAAGGAGGCAAGTGCTTTATAAGAGCACCATGACATAACATTTTATAAGACCTCATGGGAGAGGCTCAGGTACCTGAAAATAATGAGATCTCGATAAGTTATGTCTTTATTGTGTGATAATGGAACCGATGTAAAATGATTGTCGATGATGTTGTTAATATAATGTAGCGCTCAATATTATTAATATTGACGAGGATCTTGAGCTCAAATCTATCATGGAATTTGGACAGATAAATGATTGGCCAAATGAAAAATATGCAATGAAATTGACTTCACCTGAAAAATGTGAAGTTGGATGGATAGTCCCCATACCTGAAAGTGAAATGAAAAATCAAGTCGATAGACATAAAGACGATTTGCGGCACAAAATTTTCGTAAATATCCCGGTATTAGGAGACATGTTCTCTTGTGGGGGTCTGATAATACATTTGATATGCAGATAATGAAAATCCTTGAATAATTTAAATTGTTCTGAAGCATATTAAGGTTCCCAAGAAATTTATTAAATAAATCTTCGGCAGATCCTTATGTATATTAGAGCGATCATGGCGTACATGATTTATTTTTATGTCTACTGCAATTGGTGCACTAATATATCTGGCTAGAACCATGAGTATAACAATATGCTAGCAAGATATTTTATTTCAATGTGGAGATATTGGAATACAATTAGTATTATATTTCAAAAGGAATACTTGATTTAGATTTGTTTATTCTAACAAATATCGCCAAGATTTTGTTGGTTATGCAAATGCAAGCATTTTCCTGAAGTTCGTTCTTCAAACATTCTATTTGCATGTGAGAGTACTGCCATATTATCATATTACAAGGCAGTTAATTGTTGATACTTATTCAAGTCATGCCAAGATAAGCAACTGATAAAGCAAGGGGCTCAACACACAACAAACGTGTGACTTGACTTTGAAGAGAAGATTCCAATGATACTGAAGATAATGTTGTTTGCTTATATCAATTGAAAGAAGGACTATCGAATGAGACAAAATAAAGCACAGTCACCAAAGTTCTTCAACAAATTTGTTCAAGTGATAATTTGACAAACTTCTTCACAAGACATTGCGGATCTCGATATTAGAGAAGTTGTTATACAAGCTTGGAATTCGTCGTCTCCAAAGAATAAAGTGATGTTTTCATCAGGGGGAGGCAAATACGCGCTGTACTCTTTTTCCCTTAGCTAAGATTCTATCCCACTGGGTTTTTCTGGCAAGGTTTTTAATGAGGCAGCAAATAATGCGTATTACAAGATATGTGTACTCTTTTTCCTTCACTAAGATTTTTTCCCATAGGGTTTTTTCTTAGTAAGGTTTTAACGAGGCACATTATCTATAGACATCCAAGGGGGAGTGTTATGAAATATTATTTTGTAGTGGATGTCTATAACTCCTAAAGAAGTTACTCCCACTACTCTTCTCCATTATGTAGATAACTCCCACTACTTCTCACCATTATGGTTGTAACTCCCACACTTCCATAACCTCCCCATGATCTTTCCCCATGATCTCAATAATTAATACCATATTTATGATATCCCTTTGTATACCTCAATGTCATCCTATAAATAGAGGGCTTTGACATCACATTGTATACACTTGAATACATGGAAGAAATAGATTCTCTCCTCTCTTTCTCTCTACATTGTTGTCTATCTTCTTATTTTATATTATTACTTTGAGCTAAGTTTCGTAACAATAATTACATATTGACATACTCAATTGACACATATATTACGATAAGACACATCCTTACCAGAAATTTTTTTTACAAAAAAATAGGATGGAAAAAACTAAAAGGAAGGTAAATGAATAGAATAAACATTATCCAAATATATGAAACAAAACTTGCATTGTAATTTGTAAGCTCCACAACTTTTTATATTTCATAATCATATAACTTTATAATTATCTATTTTTTCTTGGTCGGTCCATTCTTTATTGCCCTCTTATCTTTTGGCCTACTTCTTCTCTTCATCATATTCTCCACTGAGGTTGGAGAAGGGGGAAAGGTGTACATATGAGTGTTATTATGGTAGTAATAGGTGAGGACATTTGTTTATGACAAAATGAATATTGTTTAATGTGTGAAAAAAGATTTAGACCTTGTAAATTATGATGAACTGGACGTTAAGGATATAGACAAAATATTAATGTCTTTTATAATTAAGATTGAGGATTCTATGTGGTTGGTTGCAATTATGTCCATAGGGGCCACTTTTTTTTCTGGAAAAAGTATGAAATTGTGCTATTCGTTTGGTAGGTGTATAATATGGGAGGATAATTGATTTTTTTTTTTTTGGGGGTCTTTTATAAAGGATAAATCAGATTTTAGAACCCAAAAGATGTAGAGCCCTCATTGAGTATAAAAGCAATTACGTAGAACATTTTGATTGTCCCTCATTGAGTATAAAAGCAATTACGTAGAACATTTTGATTGTCTCTACAAAGACCTCTTTAGTGGGATATAGAGAGGTGTCACTTTTAGTCAAGAAAATGACCAATTAATTAGATAGGAGTTTGGACATAAAACTTATAATTTTTGAAATTTGGAGTTGAACTGAAAAATGGTATTTTTAAATTTGGATCGGAATTATATTTGGACATGCGTTTCACTTGAAAAAATATTGCAGTTTTGTAAGTAAGAATTTATTTCTTTTGAAATTTTGAAAAAGTGGTCAAAACAACTTTTTAGTTTTTGAAAAACTCATTTTTAAAAAATCTCCAAATTGTAAATTGATGGCAAATACATTTTTGAAAAATTCCCCGAAAAAAAGGGGGGGAAAAATCAATGGACAAATGGATCCTTAAATTTCTTATTTTTTGGTAGGAATTTTCTAAAAATAGGAAAAGAAGTGTAGCCAAGTTTGTCAGGTCCGTACTATGCACTTAAGAGGAATGAGTGCACCCAAATGAATTGCATTTTCTTCTCCAAATTCATTCATAATCGATCTTGGTATAACCATCCGCTATATGCAACTATAACTAGCTCGACTAATTCAGATTCGTATCACATAAGACTCATTAAAGTAGGAAGTGCTCCTTCCAGAAATTTCTCCCGTCTCATAGCTCGAACCTGAAACTTCTAGTTATATATCAATATATGGATCACATCCATCTAAACACAACCTTGGTGGTAATTGATAATCATTTCCATTCTTTTGTTTGCTAATTTTTTGAGGCTTTCACAGTTTTTTGTTGTTGTAGGTTTTTCATTTTTTCAGCAGAGTTCTTCTTTAAGATTCTTTGACATCATTTCTTGTTACTGTGAAGGCTAAAGAACTCCAGTACTGCCAGTGGAAACTGAAATTGCATGCCTATCTTTGATTTATATAATATTTTTTTAGCTTAATTTTGCATACACGATTTATATAATAAAATAATTTTTACATTATTAGATCACTATATAATAACTATAAGTAACTGCTCAAAAAAGTTTCCTTTAGATAACAGGAGACTCGATGTAAATTGGGCAGGAGATACTAGACGGGAAATCCATCACTGGATGATAAATATTTTATTGTCATTACATTGGAGAAAAATGGAAGTATGATTATAGTTTCGTGGAAATTAAATAATGGATATTACCTGTTATAAGAGGTTAAAATACATTTATAGTATAAAAATCTTTTAATTATCGGTATATATAAGTTATCCATTATTCGTCCTTTTAGATTTCCATCCAAATGAACCTAGCAACATATATACCATTAATTCAATGATTTAATTTAATTCAACGAAATATTGAACACTATCATTCGAAAAATGTGATCATTCCTGTAAAGTTTCATTACATATACATTGCGATAATAAAATTCAAATACGCAATCAAGATGCTATATAAACAAAAACTCAACACAATTAAAGTAGAAAAAAAAAAGTGAAAAATTGAAAGTACTTGGGTAAAAAAAAATAGAAAAGGAAATTCAATAATCTTTTAAAGTAAATAATTTAGGGTAAATTAACCAACCACATCAACCTTAGTAGTGCAAGCTAATAACCTCCGAAAAATCGAAGCCAAAGCAGAACAAGATATCTCTTTTGCCTTTCTAAAACCTTTACATTTCCTTCTAGTCTGTCTCCGGACACCACTTGAACTACCACCGCCGTCGCTGTCGCCGTCGCCGCCATTCCGACGAGCTAATTTCCTCTTTCTTTTACCATAACATTTTACTGCTTTCTTCTCATCATTTACATTCTCTTCTTCCCTTGAAAAAGTATAACTCCTTAAATATAATTGCCTACAAGAAATACTATCCACCACCTTAGGATGATGTCCATGTCCATGTCCATGTCCATGGCCATCGTTATTGTTTTTCCCTTGCATTTTTGAGCTGACTGATCTAATAAACTCAACGTCGGATTCCGGCCATTTATAAAGATTTATATACGTGGCACGTACCGGAGCTCTAGCGTCGTTAACGCAATTGGATATACATTTAGAGGCCATTCTTGATTTTCCGGCGAGGAAGCGATACGTTGGACGTAAAGTTTTGCTTATATATAGTGTGTAGAAACAAGCTTAGATTTGAAGAAAAGACGAAAAGGGCGGCGAGGGTAAGGAAGAAGGAGTCAGAGAGTTATGTTTGGGGCAGGAAAGAGGTGTGAATTTTATGCAATTTGGTGTGTAAGAGAAATATATAGGAGTGGTGAAGTATGCAATAATTTGGCATCATTTGAGATTGTGTGTGGAAGAGAATTATCAAAATCTCTTTAACTTAAAGACAAAAGGGAATAATTTAAGGAAAATATTTACTTAAAGACAAGAGGGAATAATTAAAGGAAAATACTTATATGTGTATCTTGCATATATCAAACTATATCAACTTATCATGGTTAATAGAGGCGGAGTTCGGGATGTAAGTTGCCGAAAAATTATAATGCGTATAAAACGATAAAATTATGTTTTATGTATATATAGTAGATGTTGAATTCTTTCTATGTTTACTTTTTTATATTTTGAATACCTCTAATAAAAATTCTGAGTCCATCACTAATGATTAAGTGATAAATAAGGTTATTATGATTAAATAATAAAAATTATGTTAAAGCAGGTATCATGCATTTATCACTTTAGTATAAACAACCGAGTGTGAATTTTTTTTACTAAGCTTAAACTGATTTCTTAACAATCCCGAACTTGTGTCATGTTGTATAGGTGCCTTTTGGTCAAATCTTTAAGTGGTACTTGTCATTTCTAAAGCTCAAATGAGTGAATGAAATTAAATGCCATTTTCCATATATAGAATCTGAATACAGATAGGATAAGTGGCAGAGTACAAAACAAACATTAATATGAAGGTGAAATTTCTTAAATCTATGTCATTTAATACCATGTGATCTCTAAATTGGAAATAGCATATTCCCCTTATCCGTGCGATATTTGTCATATACGTTTTAAAGTCAAATATATCACCATTCATTATTAAAGTATTTCCCTTTCAAGAATCGAAGGGAAATAATCAAGTGGTAGTATTCTCCATCTTTCATCCTAAAAAATTTTAAAAATAGAAAATCATTAGTAATATTATTTCTAAAATGGACTGCTGTCATAAATTTTGTTATAGGATGAGTAAATGACATGTATTATCCAATTCTATTCCCCTGACTTCTAGGCAATTGACATAAGACATGTATTTTTTTTTTTTTTTTGTCTTTGGTTAAACGTGCACGAAAATGTAATTATTAAAGACATGATACAGACTGCCAAGGAAACTGTGTAAAGACCAGTAATACACATGTCTAAGATTAAAAATGATAGACCATATAAGATCATTTTTTCTATTTTTTTCGCCATATCTGGACTGGACACGTCATCTTTTCTTAGAATTTTAACTAAAATCGTAGTAGGACAACTTTTACAAAAATGCCTACAAGTTGGGGATCAAATACAATATAATCAAAGTCCAAAACTCTGTTTTAAAAGGCAGAATTGGGACTCGTCCGGGGCTCGCCCCGGAACGGAGCACTCGTAAAACGCCCCTGGGCTTATGTGTGGGGTTTAGTTCCATGAGACTTACGCCTCGGCCATCGGGGCTTACGCCCCGGACACGCCCAACGCCCAGCATACTGGGCTCGCCTAATAGAACTTTATGCAATTGTATGTAACTAACCTTATAAATCCTCAATTGTTCTTAATAAATCGTTGACTATTCAAAATTACTTTTTTCTTAATCATAAATCATTAAGTTGAGAGTATTTTATATCATAATTAAAATAAAAATTATTGTACGTTGTCCACTAAGACTGCTATGATAGTTAATTTTAAATAAATCTTTCATTTAAAAAGTATTTATTTATTAACTTTTGTTATGTCTTTACTATATAATAGTCCATAATTTTTTATAATTATTTTTCTAAATATTATTTTTTTCACGTTTACGAGATACAATACTTATTAATTTCATAGCTCAGTATTAGCTAATAACTATTTATAATTAGTTATCATGGTATTGTATGGTGAATTATGTGTCACTTTATTAACTTGTTGAAACTTAAAAATAAATGATGCTAGAGAATCATATTGAAATTGTGAATTATGTTTTTATATTAATTCCTGTCAAATAGAAAGCATACTAAATAAAAGGAGTATTTTAAGAAAAATATCAAATTATAATACCGAAATTCTTTGAGGATTCATTACTCCTTAAGAGATACACATAAGATTTCGTATCGAATATATTACTTTTGATGTTTGAGTTGTAATGACGTTGCAGCTAATTTGCACATGATATATGTCATACTTTTCATATTATTCATAGTTGAATTATACTTTATAAATATTTTAAATAGATTGTTTGTTATAATTTTGTGATTTCAATGTAATTTTTATAATTATTTTTTATTTTATACTATTTTAAAATTTTTAAAATTAGTAAAATTTAAAGATCCGTAGTACTTACGCCCCATGTCTCAGGGCTTACGCCTCGCCTCACGTCCCCGCCTTTTAAAACATTGATTCTACTGCCATACTATCTCGATGATCTATACATATGGGTATTTTCTCTTTGCACGAAAAGCAATAAATGAAATAGAAAAGATATTTTCTGTTATATTTACATCTCTTTTAGTGGTAAGAGCATTCTTCCATTCCTTTGATTTCAAATTAACCAAAAGCTGCACAATGGCATATTCCTCCGTGCTGCCTCCTTTCTTTACCAATCAATTCTAACCATCCGAAATTCAATTAAGAAAGTAAATTAAGGAAATATAAAAAAAGAGTAGTCATTTGTATATAACTTAATCAACCGAAATTCAATTAAGCTGCACAATGGCATATTCCTCCGTGCTGCCTCCTCTGAAAGCTCTAACGCGTAATTGACTCATCTACAGTTCTTTGTGTGAGGAATATAATAAATATGCCCTAGGTCAATTATCATATTTGATGATTTGAACATATTTTTGTGGACGTTATTTGATATAAAAATATATGGCATATGATATTCTTTTATCATATTTATTATTAATTGCTCGATTAATTTAATAAGGTCCTTGATTAAATTTTGAGATTTGTCATCATGATGGAGATCATGATAATGAGAGTAAAGTCTCTTACAACTTAATCTCAATTTGTTCTTGATTGTAGAATTATTAATTTGGACATTAGTAACCCGGTTATATTAATATTTATGTGATCGTATTTATGAGATAAAGATTAGTTGATCCCATTAACTAAATCGCATAGATAGATGATGCATATGGAGATATGATCATTGAACCGACTCACTGGATAATTCCTAATAGTTAGAATTACCATAAACTGTCAATAGGATATTCTCTTGAAGAATATGATGTAAGAGTTTTCTTTGACCTGAGATCGTCATAGTAATTAATAAGTTATTTATTGTGCTTTGATGCTAGATACATATGACCCTAGGGCGATAGTTGAAAGGATATAGGGTACGATTAAATACTTGTAGAATTAGTGATTGATCAAGATGGAATCTGTCAGCTCTTGGTAATGAGTTTAAGCTCCATGTTAACATGAATTATAAACGACCAAACTAAGACCTTGGCCAGGGCAATTGAATGAAAGAAGAAAAGAGTTTCTTAGGTCATTCAATGGTCGATTATATCTGACATGGACACATAGTTGGTCACTTATTAGGATTTGACAGTTGAACCATATCCTAGGGTGACCCAGAGCTATAAGGACAGAAGGAAATACTACATTATTCTTCTACGGGTTCTTGAGAGTAAATTGTACACTTTATGCTATCCGGTCGTTAAGGAGTGTTGCTAGACGTCACCCTTGATTAGTATATTGATACGATCAATTCACTATCGACTTAGTATTGAAACTATTAGGTGGCACACTAACGAGTGTTCTGATCTTTGCTAAAGGATTAATTACTTTATTATTTGATAATTAAATTAATGAATATAATTAGTCAAATAGAGTTATTAGTCCAAATGAAATATTAATGTATTCTTTTCTAGCACAAAGAATATAATTAATATTGTGAACAAATTGAAGTTTTTCATTTCGAATAAAAAAAATTAAAATATATCTCTTGATTATATATATATATATATATATATATATATATATATATATATATATATATATATATATATATATATATATAAGTGTGTGTGGTGTGTGTGTGTGTGNTAAATATTATTTTTTTTCATGTTTACGAGATACAATACTTATTAATTTCATAGCTCAGTATTAGCTAATAACTATTTATAATTAGTTATCATGGTATTGTATGGTGAATTATGTGTCACTTTATTAACTTGTTGAAACTTAAAAATAAATGATGCTAGAGAATCATATTGAAATTGTGAATTATGTTTTTATATTAATTCCTTTCAAATAGAAAGCATATTAAATAAAAGGAGTATTTTAAGAAAAATATCAAATTATAATACCGAAATTCTTTGAAGATTCATTACTCCTTAAGAGATACATATAAGATTTCGTATCGAATATATTATTTTTGATGTTTGAGTTGTAATGACGTTGCAGCTAATTTGCATATTATGATATATGTCATACTTTTCATATTATTCATAGTTGAATTATATTTTATAAATATTTTAAATAGATTATCTGTTATAATTTTGTAATTTTAATGTAATTTTTATAATTATTTTTTATTTTATACTTTTTTAAAATTAGTAAAATTTAAAGATCCGTGGGACTTATGCCCTATGTCTCAGGGCTTACGCCTCGCCTCGTCTAAGGTAAAACGCCTCGCCTCACGCCCCCGTCTTTTAAAACATTGGTTCAAAAGCATGATATATCGCGTAATAAAAAATATAATGTCACTTTCTCTTTTGGAACGAAGAGATTTCTAAGTTGTTGATTTGATATTATGTATATAAGTATCACTTAACGATCAAATGATATAGAATTGTTATATAAATAGTAGGCTAGATTCAGTGTTTACTTTTTAGCCGATATATATATATATATATATAGCGCAAATGCCCTTAGTAAAATATCGTTCGCCTTTTTTGCCCTTTTAGAAATAGAGTTGATAGAAGACAAAATAGTCATTTGATTATTCTCCTAGCTAATATTTAGGAGTTTGAAATTAAATTAAATTTTACTTATTTAATCTTTCCTTTATTTAAACTATGTATAAGGTCATAATCTTTAGGACTACGTATATAAATCATT